AGTGCTCACCTAAAGTCCCTCGGTTAAGGAGAGTGCTAGGTGAGTCCCACCTAGGACGGCCCTCCAAGGGCTGAGGGAAGAGAAGACACAGTTAGAGGTGAGCACTCATGGCAGAGATGGCATATCTCCTTGTAAGGGACCAAAGAAAGTTTCAGGAGGGGGGTCACATTGGAGTGGACTGCGAAGGATGAGAAGGGTGCCGCAGGCAGCGGTTGAAGGGAAGAGGTATCTGTGAGTGGCATGCCCCTCACATCTGGACCTGCTGGGTGCTAAAGAACCCTCTGTGACTGAATGACACCAAGGGTAAGCACATGGGCAGAGCGATGAGGCTGAGGTGCTAGCGCTGAATCCACTAGAGCAGGGGCCCTCAAACTTTTAAAACAGGGGGCCAGTTCACTGTCCCTCAGATCCGTTGGAAGGCCGGACGATAGTTTTAAAAACAATCATGAACAAATTCCTATGCACACTTCACATATCTTATTTTGAAGTGAAAAAAAAACAAATTGGACAAAAACACCTGGCAGGCCGGATAAATGTCCTCGGCGGGCCACATGTGGCCCGGCCCGCAGGCTGTAGTTTGAGGACACCTGCACTAGAACATGGCGGAGGGCAGACTCCCAGTGGTTCTAGGTGTTTGGTGAATGTGCCGGTGGCTGTTCCCGGTTCCTCCGACAGAGTGGGGAGCAAGACAGCCAGAATGCCTGCCTACTGACAGTCGACAGGCAGACTAGACAGCAAGAAGGAAAGAAAGGCATGAGGTGGTTCCTGAGGGTCGGAGTGCTATAAAGAAAGTCAAAGAGGGGCATGAGCCCGAGTTGACTCTTGGAGCCCTGATCTCAAGGAGCCAGCCATGGCAAGATGCAGAGAATGCAGATTTCAGGATGGGGGAAACAAGTGAAGTGGAAGCAAGACAGGGAGAAGCTCTGTGGGTGCTAGGCATTGAGATGAGACTGGGAACGGGGAGAAATGGGGTAGGAAGAGGCCCTACAAGGATCACCTCAGGAAGGGCCTGAGAAACCAGGGTAACACGTTTGGGTTTTCCTTGAAGAAGAGCAGGAAGGTTTTCAGCAGAGGGTTTTCAGCTGGGAAGTGCTTTGAGACTTGACTTTCATTTTGAAAGAGAAAAAAAAAACATGCTGATGGCTGAGGGAGGACTAGACTTCGGGGTGGGGCCAGGGAGACCTTTGCAGTATCTAGAAGACGGTTGGTGATTAGGGTTATGGACCAGGTTAGGGCGAGTGGACATAAGAGAGTACTGCTTGGCCGACTGGATGTAACGAATGAAGGAACGAGGCATTGAAGAGTGATCTTAAAGGGTGTAGCCTGCGATGGGGAAGAGGGAGGGGGGCCGGGGTGGGCACAAGAGTCAAAGGTAAGTTGGGATGGGAGGTTGGAAGTAAACCATAGTCTGTGCATTCCCTTTCGGTCTCCCTGGAGAGTGAGTTAGCTCATATTTGTCTTTAAATCAACCTCAGATAGACTCATCAAGACTTAAGCGCGCATTAAGCAATCATACCCATAACATCGAGGGTTCTGTGGGATATGTAGTGTTATTTTCTGAATCTATATGAAAACATTTAAGAACAACCCTAGCTCCCAGCTTCCCTGGCATGGCCTCCTTCCTCAACCTCCAGCACAGCCTGGGAACCTAGCATTCAGACTTAAACTGGGGCTTTAGAAATGACCCTGTTGGTGGCACATCGAGGGAGGCCAGGTCCAACAGCTCAATGTGGCCCTGGGGGCAGCCACCTATTGATGGCCATTTGCTGAGCGAGGGAGGGTCCTCTGAGCGGAGCCCACCACCTTTTCTTAGGTCCATGTGCCCTCTGGTGGTTGGGCTCCCCGTCTCTGTGTATTGGGGGTTTGAGGGGAGAGACCAATTAGACGAACTAGAAGCTTCCGACTGAAGAACAGAGAGATGCTGCCGAGGCTGGGACTTGGGCAGGGCCAAGTTGGGGGTGGTCACAATGAGCCAGGCAAGGGCCTGACCAAAATGAGAAGGCAAGTGGTGGGCAGGAGCAGGATATTGTGTTTTCTATGGTAGGGCACTCATGCAGACCAACACAAATGGATGGCCATATACGAACACGGCAATTGACTCAGGTGGGTCTTTCCGGAGGAAAATAGAAAGCATTCCACTTTAAACATTTGTGAATTAAGAACAAGGAGCATCAGACTGTACTGGATAAATACAACACCTCATGGACCGTGGACTTCGGTTCTTGTATTAAAGCCACTTAGAGGAGTGGTGGGGAAAGTAGCCAGCAGCAGGCTTGAAAAGAGGAGGGGTTTTCCCATGGAGAGGGCAACCTGGAAGTGGAGCAAAGCAGGGGTGGTCTGAGACGGACCACACCAGCGTCCATGTGCTCACACTGGCTCACATCACATCCACACAGGAGTTTCCTCAGGCCTGTGTATGCGTGTGTGTGAACACGCACGGCTATTCCTTTATGCTTCTCCTAGTGAACGAATGACACCTAGATGGAATGGAGAGCCCCCTACAGGGCAGTATGCCAAGGGTTCGTCCAAAGACAGCTGCTCTGGACTTAGTCTCAAAGGAAGCAAAGAGGGGAAGGGTAACCCTGGCAAACAAAAGTCCCAGGAGTTGAAGGAGGCACAGCCAATCGAGAGAGTGCAGAGAGCCCTGGATGCTTAGACTCTGGGGTGTCTGGGGAAACGAGAGCTCGAGGGGGAAAGCTGAGTCCTGAAAGCCTGGGTCTTCTAGCAGTGGACTCCCCACATGGCTTTGTCCTGGATGAACTAGAAGCAAGGCGCAATGTGCACACCTTCGTGGTAGAGCTGGGTTGAGGGGGAAGCGGGTCCCACGGAGAACCCCTGCAGGTTTCTTGCTGAAGCCTGGGCAAAAACATCGAATGTAGTCAACCCCCTGCCTCTGGGCCCAGTGCCATCCTGGGCCTACAAAACAAAAAGCGAAGGCAGGTTCCAACATATGGTGAAAACTGAACTTCTTAGTGCAACCTTAGCAACAAACATCTTGGGAAGCAGCTGGCTGGGTCTCCAAGGATTCCTCCTGCTGGCTTGTCCTTTCTTGTACTGAAGGGGCTCAGAGCCTTTGCTTCCATCCCAACACACAAAGGGAGAATGTACAACAAATAGCGCCCCATCACAAATGTGCTCTCCTTATGGCTGCCACTTTTAGGGCCTGGGGCCGCGAATGGGTAATGCTTCCAAACTCTTCTGGGAAGTCTTCCTCGTTCTGAGATTTCTTAGGGTAGGGCAGAGACCAAGGTTGTTGGATACACGATGTTAAAAGAAATCTGACTAGAAGAGGCGTTCCCATAAAAATGATCGGTGTGCATCAAGAGACCTGAGTCTGCATCTAGGGAGTCTTGCCTACTGATTAAAACATGTCTTCTGGTTCCAGGTCATCCTGTCAAACCCAGCTCGAGAATCTCTGCCTCCAGGACCTAGTCCCCAACTCCCCAGGCAGAGTCAGTATTCCTGTCCAGAGAGAGCTACTGATGGGTAGAAGTATAAGCATTTGGGTCCGTTTCCTTCCCTCCTTCCTTCCCTCATCACTTTAGTGCAGTGGTTCCCAGCCTTCCTAATGCCGCGACCCTTAAATACAGTTCCTCATGTTGTGGTGACCCCCAACCATCAAATGATTTTCGTTGCTACTTCCTAACTGTAAGTTTGCTACTATTATGAATCATAATGTAAATATCTGGTATGCAGGATGTATTAGGCGACCCCTGTAAAAGGGTCGTTTGACCCCCAAAGGGTCGCAACCCACAGGTTGAGAACTGCTGATTTTATTACTCTAGTGACCATTCTCTGAAGGTCTCCTCTGTGCCCAACAGGTTGCGGAGGTTGCATCCAGAGCAGTGGGGGAGACTGCCTTGACCTGGTCCTCAAAGAGCTCATGGGCTGGAGTGGGGACCAGGTCCATCAAAAACCAACCACACAGTGTGGTAAGAGCTAGGAGAGAGAGACATACAAGCTCTGCGAGAGTGTAGTGGAGAGTCAATTGACTGCCTAGTGGAGGAGGGAATGTAGTTAATGGGGCAAGTAGTCCTTAACTAAGCCCGGAAGGACTATTAAGGGTTTTCCATTGCAAAGGAAGGCAATAGGTAGGACAAGCTTTAATGGAAGAGAAAAGTCTGAGGAAAAGAGATGGGAAGGAAGGGGAAAGAGGGAAAGAATGTAAATAGCATGGCTGAGGAAACACTGCAAATAGTTGGAATGAATTTATTAACCCAGAAGTGCCAATAATGCCATTGGTAACTTGACTTGTCCCCCATTGGCCACAAGACTGCAGAGCCTCTTCAGAAATGTGCTGCACAAAGGGGTGACAGGCAGAATTCCAGGCCACCTCCTTCTCCAGGTAGCACTTGCCTGCCGGCCAATTGCCAAGTTGCATGTCTTATGGAATGGCCCAGAAATTAGGAGCATGATCTTTTCCTTAGCCGAAGATAACTACAGGGTCCCACTCCCGGTCGGTAGACCCAGAGACCAATCAACAGGGAAGGGTAATCTGGAGTGAGTACCTTCCTTGGGAGGCAGACTCTGGGGACCCGTGCTAAGTGCCTGCAGCCAATGCATGAACTACATACACGTGCAGGATGATGAAGATATTTGGGAGACATGTCAGAAAAAGCAGGGTCAGAACCAAGTGGGGGAGGGGCTGAGGTCAAAGGAGGCTGGAAAAGAGGAGAGTGCACAGCGTTCTGTCGATGGTCTTCCTCAGGTAATGTGCCCAGGCTCCCAGGCTCCCTGCTCAAGACTGAAGCCAGTCGCCACTACTCTTCGTCTTGCCTCAGACTTAGGAAAACTGGAGCTCTTGGAAATCTGAGTTGTCCACAAACTGGCCGGTTAGTTGGACTTTGGGGGTGGGGGTCCTGGATGTGCAGGCCAAGAATCTGGAACAGGGAGGCTTGGGAGAGATTTTAGAGGGTCATGCAGAGAAGTATGGAGACCTACACAGCTCTTCTAGCTCCTGAAATCAAGGCCAAGGCCAGAGAGGTGTTGGGTCCCAGCCTTTATGGTTTCTCTCCAACATCTGGCTCTGGACTGTTGATCCCATCTGACAGGTAATCATCTTCATTGTGCTGCTTCATCTTGGTCTCCAGAACCGTGATTCTCTGCTTGAGCTTTTGCTGGGCCCCCGTGTACTCAGCCAGCAGGCGGCCGAAGCGGGTGTACAAGGTGTCCATGTTGGTCTCCAGCTGCTCTAACTTTTCCTGCACATCTACTTCCATGCCAGCGGCCACGTCATTCTCATCCAGCAGCCCCTCCTTCATCAGGATCTCTCGACCCCTCTCCTCCAAGACTTTCTTGGCATCAGGATACTCAGTCACAGCTTCCATAAGATCATCTTTGGACAAACAGAAGAGATCTGAGTAGCCAAGGCTGCGGATATTGGCTGTGCGTCGATTCCCCATTTTGCTGCCCTTAATGTTGAGGATGCTGATCTCTCCAAAGCAGCTGCCAGCCGACAGCAGGGCGTATTGTGTCACACCGTCATCAGCCACCACTGCTAACTTGCCCTCCTTGATGATATACATTTCCTTGCCAATGTCCCCCTTGCGGCAAATGTAATCCCCAGGGCTAAAGACTTGAGGGCGGAGCTTCAGCACTAGTTCCACCAGAAGGCCAGCCTCACAATCCTGGAAAATGCGCACTTTCTTTAGTGTGGACAGGTGGACATTAATAGCTATCTCAGCCCTGAGTTTGGCTGGTAGGTTCTTGAGAACTTCTCGCTCATCCACGCTCTTCTTGTTGGTCCACAGGTAGTCAAACCACCTGATGACTTTGGCTTCCATCTCCTTGCTGACCTTGCGGAACTGCATGTAGTGTTTGACCGCGTCGATCTTGGCTTGAAACTCAGCTCGGGTGGCGTTCATGTTGGAGATCATGGAGCCCACGTTTCCCACGATGGTAGCAAAGATGAGGACACCGATCAGGAAGTCAAAGATGACAAATAGGTATTCTTCATCCTTTACAGGGGGCGGGGTCTCTCCAATAGTGGTGAGGGTCAGTGTGGACCAATAAAGGCAGTAGATGTATTCCCTAGCCAGGTAGCCATACTCAGGGTCAGTGATGTTGGGATAAACCCAAGTATCAACTCCAAACCCAATGGACTTCGAGATGGCATAATAAATGCAGGCGTTCCAGTGGATGATGACCAAAATGTAGAGGACTAGGTTGCTGATGCGGAAGATATTGGGATAGCTGGTACGTGTCTCCGTGCGGTCAAAGAACTCAAACATGCGAGCAAAGTGCAGGAGGCGGTTAAAGCGCAGCTCAGGGCTGTGGATGCCCACCGCAAAATAGACCAGGTCCGTGGGGATGATGGAGGCCACATCCAACTTGAACTGCATTGTGTGAATGTAGTTGTCCCGCAACTTCTTGGGATCTTTGACCAGCAGTCCTTGCTCCAGGAAACCTGTGGGAGATGAAAGACAGGTCTCAAGCTTAGGCCTTCCATAGGTTAAAGTTAAGGAAGGGACAAATGAGCTCATAAACTCTGACCTCCAGAGAAGGGTCTAGGAACTCACAGCTGGACTGGCCATAAGATCAACTCCAGGTTCCCACCTTATTAAGCACGTAGGGGCCATGGGATTCAAACAGCCATAGGGACCAAGCCATGTTTCAGCCAGACAATGTAATCCGGCGCTGTGTTTGGAGGGCTTCTTGAACATTGGATGCATGTTTTGGGACTTGTGGGTCCTCCCTGGGTGTCCCAGCTGTTCTCGTACCTGTGCGCAGTCGGATGAAGAGGTCTGCGATATAGACCATGTCTGAGAAGTAGTCCAGCACCAGCCACACAACATAGTAGCCTTTCTGTAGGTCACTGAAACAGGCTCTGTGGGAAGATGACACCGGCCTTTACCCTCCGGATCCAGCCAAGGCCCATGGAGGTCCCAGGCCGGGCACCCACCGTGGGTCCTGGTGAGTTACATTCAACACACACTGTGGGCTAATGACATTCCATGCCCAACCCCTTGTCATTGACTACAAATCACAAGCAGCCCAAGGAAGAAGGGGTTCCTTCTGAGGAGTTGGTCACATGTAGACTAAAGCCCCAGCCCCTCCTGCCCTGTCATCCTTGATGCCTCACTCACAAGCCTCCTACCATATGGGCTCATCTCTGCTGGAGCGCTCCCTCCCACCACCCTCTGGAATTTAAGTCCTGTTACTGTGTCAGGTGTCCTACCACCTCCTCTGGGAGGTCCTCCCTGACTGTCCTTTCTCCAGCTCGTGGAAGCACCTTGATCATTTCTGTTTCCGGTTTACTGTCTGTGTTCCCACCAGCCTGATGGCTCCAGGGGAATGGAGACCCTGTCTGTTGGGTCTACCTTGCCCCCAGCACTGAGCAGAGCTTGCAGCACACAATAAGTGTTGAATGAATGACTGAGGCAAGGGCTGAGAAAACCACTTGTAAAGAGTGCTCTAGAACTGGCCCTGCAAGGCAGAGAAGACTCTCCATAGGTTGAAAGAAAGGATAAAGGGAGTGGTCATTGGAGGAAATAAAAGAACAGTGAGTGCAGGGTTTGGGGTATTCCATAGGGGGGAGCTAGAGAGCAGACAGTGCCTGTGTCTCAAAAGGCTTTCAAGGCCAAGTTTATGGTGTGCGCAAGGGCAATTGCAGAAATGCAGAGCCCTTGGAGGGCTGCCAGAGGGAAATGACACCATCCATCTCTGTTTCTACCCAGCGTGCTCCTTGAAAGAGTGGGGAATGCACTGAAGGGGCACTGAGTGCCTGCTTGGAATGGACACGGGCCATTGTGATTCTCCCAGAAAGAGATTGGGAGGCCGCCTCAGGGAGGTGGGAGCAGATTACAGACCCCTGGAGAGGATCTGGTGCGAAGGCTCAGTGGCATGGGCAACCAAGAGGAACGGTTGGGAGCGAGAGGCCATGGAAGTGCTGCCAGCAGGGAAGTATTCCCAAGCGGGAGCGAGTGCAAGTGAGCTCAATCTCTACATCAAGCCCTGAGCCTGTTGGCTGAGCTTCTTTGGGCACACCCCTCCCGGGGTCCCGCTCACCTGGCCACTAGGAGGCACCAGTTGTAGAGGACAGGCATGGCAATGACAAAGAGCCAGCGGTAGTACCAGTCCCCAGCTGGGTCCAAGACAAACAATTCCAATTTCTTCCTGAAGAGAGACACAGAGGTCAGGCTTGGGCACCACGTCCTCAGATCCCAGGGCCCCCAATAAAGCACTGTTTGAGGGGGCTGTGTGGGATGAGGGGTACTGGGAGTCTGAGTAGCTCTCACATGCATGAGGGGCATCCTTTTTCTTATCCTGGCCCCAACAGACCCTCTGCCTCCCATGCCCTTGGGAGGCTCTGCCTCAGAAGGTGTGGCGGGGCCAGCACTTTCAATAAGGGTCAGCCTCAGAACCTGGGGAAAGGTTTCCAAAGAAGAGAAGAGACTTGTCAAGTGAGAGGCCAACGTGCTTCCTGCTCACTCGCTCTCTCTCTCTTTGGCCGCTGGCCTCTAGCCAACCCCCCCACCCCACCCCACACAAGCATTTCCCCAGATGCCACATCTTGCCTTAGCAAGAGAGCCTGGCCTCCACCAGCCCGAAGCCGGGGATGTTGGCTTGGCCAGACATCCTCAGTCGTCTGTATTCTTCAAAATACAGTCCTCTTCCAGTTCCATCTTCTCAGCCTTGCCCCCGATTCCATTGTTCCACACCTTCCCTGCCAGCCCTCGCCACGGCCTTCTCAAAGAACCTCACCACACTGAGGCTGGGAGAGGCCCCTCCACAGTCTCCCCCTAACCATGCCTGCTCAAACCTCCCTGCCCGTCATAGGCCAGCTCTCATTTAAGTGCCCGCACTACCTTGTCTGCTACATGGGTAGTGAGATAGCTGACGAGGGGCACCTAGGGTGAGGTGATGGAACTGTTCTGGAGTTAAAAACATAGCAGGCAGGCCTCCCCTGGTCATCCCTAGCGCTGCCCCATGGACCCTGGGAGTAGCATTAGAGAGCCCACCCAGCCCTCGGATGGCAAGCGTGGGAGCCCTTCAAGCCCCTCAGGCTGGGCAGCTATACTTGGTGGCCTTGCCCTCGCCGTCCTTGTCGCCTTTGCCATCTCCTTGTTGTGTTGTTACAGCCTGGAGCTCAGGCCCACGGAAACGTTCGAGAAAGGAGTCTGGTCTTGGTTCCTCCTCACGGAAATTCTTGTTGGCCCATTCGCGGATGACCCCCACCAGGCGGGCAATCCTAAAGGCAAGAAAGACAGGGGTTGTGAGCCAGAAAGTCATCCTGCTCAGAGACAATGTGGAACTGGGGACTCACTGTCAGGGAGACGGAAGGCAGGCAAAGGAGCTTGGGAGCAGGTTGTGATTTTCCCAGCGCTAAAAGCCAGGCTGGAGCAAGCACTTGGGGGCACGGACTGGGACTCAGCTCCTGACCCCTAATGCAGCCTGTCCGGGGGCACTATCCGGGAAAGACATTCTGTAGAAAAGGGCCCTTTCGCTTGATGGGGAGGTACAAACAAGAGGTGCCCTGGGCAAACTGGAGGTTTGTATGTGAGGTGGCATGTATAGAGTTCTATCATCCTTCTCAAAAGCTGTGTCCTCTTGGCCAGGCCCTGATTCTCAGTGGTTGGCTGTTGTGTAATTATATAGTTCGGCACTTTTGTGGTGATATAATCTTCCCCCATAGTATGGCTTGATGTAACTGTCTTCCATTTTGCATGTGCTGTACCTATGACCTCTATGTGTTAATGAAGCAAGAGATTAGATCCTGTGTGAAATGTTAATGCGGCAGGATTCAGGCCGGATGTAACACCAGCTCACAGGTAAGGGAGTTTCCATAGCAGGGAGAGGAAGCTGAATACCACAAAGAAAGAGCAGCCAGGAGCAAAAAGCATCCTTTGAACTCCGGGTCCCGCACTGAGAACTTCCTAACCCCAGTGGAAGGTCGAAGTCATGTGGAAAGGAGACAAGTACCTTCCCCCTGAGCCAACAGAGAAGACAAGCTCTCCCCTAGAGCTGGCAGTCTGAACTTGGACTTCTAGCCTCTTAAACTGCGAGAGAAGCAATGTGTGCTTGTGAAAGCCAATCACCGGGATAGTTCTGTTCTAGCAGTACTAGAGAATGCAGACAGTGGGATTCAGGGTTGCCTTCGACTTCTGGACATTCCTCCCTCAGGAACTTACAGTTCCGCGTGGATCGAAACCGTGGGGCTCTTGGCTGAGGTTCATTCTTCCCCCTTGATGTTGAGGGGAAGGCTACGCTGGTGACTCAGGATGGTGGGTGAGTGGTTGCTCAGGACAGCACGGACCAGGGTTTGCAGACACCTTGGTGGAAAGGTCTAGTGACACTGCGAGGAGGAGGGTCCTTAGAGCCACCCTGAGAAGCCTCATGGGTGGGAGCTGGTTGCGGTAGCATACTGGTGGAACCCACCTGCGGAAGCCACCCCTTCCCCGCTGAGGGCCATCCACCTCGGCCAGCCTCTGGAGTTCTGAGGAAGTGTCATCCTCGGCTGCAGACGGTGGCCTGCAGAGGAAGGAGCAGAGATGATCAAGGATTCTGTAGGTATACCTCATGTCCTATCAGCACTTTCTTCTGCGACATGCCAAGAATGCCCCTGGTCCCTTGAGAAGGCGTCCTTGAGCCAAAGATGATTTGTTGTATGACTATAAGGCAGAGCTGGAAGGGAATCACGACCCTGGAGCCATTCCGGGAACGCACCTGCTGCTGGTCCTGCGGTCCTCTTTGCCATTGGCCTTAATAGTAGGGGGTGCATGGTGATTGTGGTTATTGGCTGGGGAGCTCTTCACGCCATTGGATTTTTCTGTCATCCTCCATGTACGGCTTCGGGAGCCGGACCCTCACCTGTCAAGGAAAGGGCAACGAAGGCCAGAGAGGTCTTACACGCCCACAGAGCACAGGTGAACAGGGTCTGAGCAAAACCAAGTCACAGCACCCAGATACTGAGTGCCATTGAGTCGATGTCCACTTAATGCTTAGATCTTGGCACTCAGGAAACTCTAAGTTTCCTTAATTTTCTTTCTTTTTAATTATGTTGTTTATTTATACTTTTAGAAACAGTTTTATTGGTACTGGGTCCACATATCATACAATTCAATAGTTCAACCATATCATAAAGAGTTGTCCATTCTTTACCACAATCAATTTGAGAACATTATCTTTTTCCCATACTCATTGTTATTCGTGTCATTTATTTTTCCATTTTAGGAAAAACAGACACAATAAAACATTCACCAACTCAACCACTTCTACATGTGTAATTCAGTGCCATGTCATATCCCCTTCATATTGCACAAACATTATTGATCTCCCTCTCACTGCTCCCTAGGCAGAAATATTTCCTCCTTCATCTATGGTAACCGTAGGTCAAGTTAACTGAACTAAATAAATATATAGATAAATAAATAAAGCGACCCTATAGGAGAAAGAAAAAGTACAACACCTCTGGGAGTTTCCGAGATCAACTGTTTATGGGAGCAGAAAGCCCTGTCTTTCACACTCGGAGTGGGCTGGTGGATTCAAACTGCCGACCTTGCGGATCATAGCTCAACTCATAATCATTACACCACCAGGGCTCCGATTCTGATAGGTATTTGGACGTGACCTCAGGTTGCACGGACACATAGGTTAGGTGGACTATCTCAGTTTCCTTTCCTTTACCCCTACCCCCATGAATATTTTGAAAAATCAATGATCAAATATAATAGAAACAAACAAACCAAAAGTGTTTTAACCCATCTCTGGTGCCCCTCTTTTGCAGAGGACGGCATTTGCTTGGAGCATGGTACACTTCCAAGCTGGTGACTGTCCTCAAGCTCCTGCTCCACAGGCGGAAGCACACAGTCCCCCTGCCCCAAAGGAACTGTACCCTTACCCATACCTCCTCAGAGTTCACACACTGCAGGTCTGAATCCCCTTTCCCATCGGCTTCTGCAACTAGCTCTAATCACAGCTTTTCCAGCACCACATCGGTGACACCCATGACGCTGTATGTTGCGGTGAATTTACATGTCCCTCGAACATATAGTAACGTCCCAGACCTCTTATTTGGAATGAAATGTTTTCTATGAAGGTGGGTTGGGGGAAGACGCATGCATAAGCCAGGGAACACCCAGACGCTTCCCCAAGTGTGGACATGGAGAGAACATGACACCATTGGCTGAACTCCCTCATCTTGAACTCCTAGCCTCCAGAATTGCGAGAGGATAAATTTGCTATTCCTTAAAGGCACCAGTCTTATAGGAGTTTGTTAGGACAGCCCAAAGGAACTCGCGCTCTGAAGAATAAGAAAGGGCTCATGGGTGGAGGAGGAAGTGAGCTTCAGAAGAGATGGGGAGGCATGGAGGCAGAGATCCAGAGGGGCAGCATTGTCATTGTGAAAGATCCCAAAGGCTGTTGGATGGAAGAGAAATTGGAGGGGAGCAAAGGGAAAGGCAGGGTGGCCAGTGCAGTGGCTGGTGCTCAGGGGGCAGGACTCTCTAGGAGACAGAATGGGCAGGACTTGTCAATGGGTTGTGTGTGCAGTGGGAGAAAGGAAGTAATAGGATCACTCGGGAATTCAGGACAAAGAGAGGGTCTAAGGCAGGGCACCGGAGAACCTGAACAAATAAGAGTTAAACAAAGGAAAACGTGTCGCAAAAAATCAGCCCGAGAAGGAGCAGCCTGACTTAAAAAAAAATGAAAATAAGAAACTTGAACAGGAGTCTGTGCTCCAGTGTCTCCTGACAGTGGGTCAGGATGACTGGACCACTGAGAGCAGCTTCTTCCTGCGGGAGCGATCAGAAGAGAGACATGGTCAGCACGTCCCCGCCCCCCTGGGTTCCTGGCACCTTTTATGCTGGACTCGCAGCCCCCAGAATGCTCCTGGACCACTCCCTCCACCTGTCCCCAGCTTGTTCTGGCTTCTGAAATTGTCACCATGACGATGGCAGCCACGTCAAATGCTGCGGTGAGTGGTGCTAACAAGCAGCACAGAGCCGCTTGCCTGGTGCTCGCTGTGGGACTGTGGCATCAAGACACTAATGAGGGCACCTGAGAGCTAGCAACCAGTATCCCTGAGCCCTGCTTAGACCCTGGGGGGCGGCAGGTCATGGAGACAGAAAGTTTTAGGCAATGCAAACAAAGCCAGGGACACTGGCATCGAGAAGGACTTCGGGGCTTGACGCCTGGAAGAGGTCGCAGTGAAGCCCAAGCTGAAAGATGAAGATGGCTTTTGAGCCCAGGTCTAGGTCCAGAGGGAGCCTTACTAAGAGAATCCCTGTGAAGTGAACGCGGACACAGGTAGCTGGGGGGCTGTAAAGGGCAAGTCCATTGAGAGGAGATTGAGTGGGAGCAAGTTGGACCCAGAGTGGAAGGTGAGCTGTTCTTAGAGGAATTGGGCAAAGATGTCCAGGGTCAGATCAGGGAGGTTCTCAAATATTAATCAGAAGTCTTAAAAAACCCTCTCATGATAGAGAGTATGTGCAGGCAACTACCTAGATTCCCCATCTACCTTTCTGATCATCCCCATGAGCCATGAACTTTGAGTCTACAAGAACAGTACTGGGGACCCACCAGACATCTGTGTCCTCTCTAAGGTTCTAGCACTAAGACAAATTTCTCTCCTCTGATTCCCTGCCCCTTCTCTACTAGAGAACCAGTACTACCCTCAAGCTGGTCCAACAGCAGCTCTGCCTTACCCTTCATCAGAACTGCCCCCTCAGGTGGGTAGCCTGGGAAACCCCAGCAAACAACTAGATACATGCTCCTCTTCTTGGCTCTTCATTCCACACACACCCCACCACCCCACCCAATAGTATCTAGTTCTAAGGTTCCAGTTACAACCATATCCGAAATCAAGGTTTACATCCCAAATCTCTCTATAGATAGATAGATAGATAGATAGATAGATAGATAGATAGATAGATAGATAGATATAGATATAGATATATCCCCCTCAAGTTCCTCATCCCCATTTCCAAGTGCCTGCTGAGGCCCAGTAAGCTCAGTACACCCAAAGCAGAACTTCGTAAACAAATAGGTTAAACCTCTAATTGACCCTTCCTGAAAGATCGTGCTCCCAGCCTGGCCAACCAAATCAGAAGCGTGTAGGTTATCCTGCACCCCTGGTTCCCTCTGTCATCAGTCAACTTTCCCCCCATCGTGACACACCCACCCCCTCCAGTGTCTTCTGGCGTCCCATCTTCCCCGCTGTTCACCAGGCTGCAACATACTCTGGCCCACCATTCATGGTGGTCGGCACTGGAGGTGGGCTATGGACACCATCAGGGTTTAAGTAGTAATCAAAGGTCTCAGGGTGGCTGGACCATGATCCTCTTGACCGTTAATTAGAGAAGAGAGGGAGGCTGAAGATCGGCCACTAAGCAGAGGATATTCATGTGACATGAACATGAGGAGAGAGTTTCCAGGGATGGGGGAAGTCTCAGCAAGACATTTTCAAGGTCAGTGCCCCTTCCGCGTCAGCAACACAATGGTTGCCTGCACAGTCTGAGCCTTCTTTCTTCAGAGATAAGAACTGGAATAGGGCTCGTGTGTGAAACCACGGGAACTTTGCCAGAGACGTCACTGAGTGAGAAGAATCCTAAGGGAGGGTGGTGAGGAGGGTGGGGGAGTCGTAGGGTGTAGGAGGGAGTTAAAGGAACAGGGAGATCAAGGATGTACCTCCGAGCTTTGGAGAAGCTTGATTGTGAAAAAGAGTGGAGATAGAGTGGGGAGGAAGGGTAGATGTGGAGTAGAAAAAGCTGTGGGTGTCACACTTTTTTCTCTCATTTTATATAAAGAAGGTAATAAAACAAGTGAAATGTTTCAAGGATAGATTTAGTAGCTAATGAAAATCTGGGACCTAGTGGCTAATTGAAAGTGGCGGCCAGGGGAGATAGGATCATAGATGGACCAAAATGAAATGAGACACAGGAGGCTGGGCTGTGCAGAACAGGCCAGGAGGAAGGGAGCGGGCCAAGAAGCATATTTTATTTTATTATTAAATACTTTTATCGGGTGCTCTTACATCTCTTATCACAATCCATACATTCCTCCATTGTGTCAAGCACATTTGCACATATGCTGCCATCATCATTTTCAAAGCATTCTCTTCCCACTTGAGCCCCTGATATCAGCTCCCGATTTCTTCCCCCTCCCTCCCTCATGAACTCTTGATAAGTTATTATTCTATCATCTTACATCGTCCTCCATGGCCCCTCACCCACTTTTCCATTGTTTGTCCCCCATGGGAGGGGGTTATAGTTGATCCTTGTGATCGATTCCCCGTTTCTCCCCGCACCTTCCCCTAATCCTCCTGGTATCTCTACTCCCCTTGTTGGCCCTAGGGGTTTATCTCTCCTGGATTCCCTGTGTTGCAGGCTCTTATCTGTAGCAGTGTGCATGCTCTGGTCTAGTCCGATTTGTACGGTAGAATGGAGGTCATATTTTAGGTGAAAGTGCAGTGAGAGAGAGTGAAAGGGGTTCATTGTTAGAAAACCCTAGCTTTTCCAGTGAAGGAGGAGGGGCTTCACCTTTAGAGGTACCAGGCAGGGTTGGGTGCAGATTTTAGAGGAGGCCGAACAGTTTGCAATGTCTGCTGCCGAAATGGACAACAGAATTTTAATAGGTGTGGGGACAGGATAGACTGAAGGCCAGAGAAGAGGATAGAGACTGGCAGGGATTCTAGATACATAGTGGGATGCTCAGAGAGGGTGACTTTGAACCCAAGCATAGGGCATAAAGATTCTGTACTCTAAACATGTACTTCTGGACCCTGTTTCTCCTCGTCCTCAATTAGGCCAAGACTTTAACAAAAACCAGGCTGGTCCATAGC